CCCACCTTCAAGACTCCAAAAATGTCATTTCACCTACCCCCTATCTCCTTCCACTTCTCTGTACTTTCTTGAAAATAATCATCAAAACTCCTGGTCATTCATATAAGATAAAATGTTGCATAGACATTTCTCAATAAAAACTAGAAAAGCACTCAGAGAGCGCAGACCTCCACCAAGGACTACCCCCATTTTTTATATAAATTGCGATAAAATCAGTCTTCTGGATCAGATCTGGATCAGCCTTTGGAATATGAAAAAGGATCCCATTGTTCATCCCTGAGTCAAATTTCATGGGGTTTGGTCAATAATTAACTGAGATATTGAAAAACAAAATGTTTGGCCCCATTTACCACAATGTTAACTAAAATTTCAAAGTGATCCAGAATCCAGGATTTCTTCCGGATCACCCCCAAAATGAAATCAGTTCTTCCTTTTCACATTTCCAACAAATCCTGAAAATTTCATCAAAATCGGTCCATAACTTTTTGAGTTATGTTGCTAACAAACAAACAGACAAACAAACAAACAGGCAAACGCCGGCAAAAACATAACCTCCTTGGCGGAGGTAATAAAAAATAGGCCTACATGCAAGTTTTTCACTTGTTTTGGTGAAATGGCTTTATGAAAAGGTTTGTTTTGAGCAGGAAGTCAATAGTCCCATTTTTATTAAAGCTCCTATATTATGCGAAACTGACTATTGTGAGCTTTAAACCATGTTATAATGTAGTAGCATGTAATAATTGAGGTTATTTCAACAAGAACTGCCAAAATTATTGTCCTGCGAAATGATGTCAGTTTTTTGGGACACCCTGTACATCCATCTAGCATTTATTCATTACGAGTGTTTATGTTGCTCAAAAATACAGTCATTCCTTCTGTGAATAGGGGCGACTCTCCACAGATCTGAACTGTAATGAAGCATAATGCTGTAACCTGTTTGTCTCCCTTGTGATAGGTAGATTTAATAGATCCTGTGGAACATTCTAGACAAGGCAATAACATTTCCATGGTGCAGGTGGCGGACTCTCCACTAGAAATGTTACGCAGTGCAACTTTAAGCAATGTTAGAATGTTGTTCCCTCATCAAAAACAGACCTAGAGTTGAGTTTTGTTTCATTCACACATGTTTGAGTAACACTTTATTATTAGTCTACATCTCCAAAGATCAAAATGTTCCACCTTGTGATGTCTTGAAGTGGTAATTTTCATTTAACAGCTACAGTTTAACTTTAGTTCAGTAGAGATTGACCATCCCAGGGAAAAAGGGAACTCATCCAAATGATTATGGTGAAGGTGTGTGGAGTTTAAAAATATGGTCGAGCACTTCTTGTATTACCACAAGACATCACAGAGGAGTGTTTAAGAGAAGAATTCAGCCTAAATACTCTAGTCTGATTCATCAACCGGTTTCACTTCGTAGAAATCATCTGACCTCACAGTGTTAGAATTTGTTCACTCGACGGTAGACAGGTACTTTATTTCATTTAACCAATCACTGCTATTTGGTCATGATGTATGTAATGCGCCACTAACAGGGCTAACTGGTATATTAAGCTTTTCCCAAATCCCATTGGAAGAAGGACAATAACGTCTTATACCTTGATTCCCCCTTCGCCAAAGATTCTCTTTATTCCGACTTTAAAACCTCGATCTCGGGAATCGTTGCCAACACAGAATGTATGTCTCTTCACTGACTGGCTAATGCCGTAACTCGCACTTCCGGGGTTCTTGCAAATCGTCTAGTGCACAGGTGTCAAACATACGGCCCGGGGGCGAGATCCGGCCCTCCAACATCTTTAATCTGGCCCTCGGCTGATTTTCTACTAAAATATTTTAATAATATTTTAGTAGAAAATATTGGTAATTTTCTGCATCGCTGAGCATAGCAGCATCTCCAGCGCCTCTGTGCGTGGCCCCTCCCACCAGAGCAGCACAAATGAAGACTTGTCTCTTTCCAGACGATTGTTTTGACTGTTGTAGAATGACAGCCTCATCAGCAAAATGTCAAAAATGAGAAAAGTGGAGCAGAGTGCAGGATTTTCCAAGAAAAACTGACTTATTCCTATTTGCATACAAGTTCATGTTAAAACATTGGGCTGAAATTGAATTTTTCTTAAAGTTTCAGGTTGTTCAAAATATTATTATATTTTGTAAAAGAAAGAGTTTATCAATAAAAAAAATGTCTGTAATAGATTTGCGTTTCTCTGCACAAATATTTAAACTTATTTTTGGGGTTTATATGACATGAGTTTTCTGATCCAGCCTCTTTGAGATCAAAGTCGGTTGGATACGGCCCCCGGACCAAAATGAGTTTGACACCCCGGGTCTAGTGTATTCTGATTCCTGGTCTAGTCGCTGGAGAGAATGAAACAAAACAAAACTCCAGGTATGTTTGTGATGAGTAAACATTATAACATAGATCAGAAAATAGTATAGCATGGCACAGTAGTGTAATTTTTATGTTTTAATTTCATAAACATCAAATATTTTTTTACTTTTACTGACAATTGTAATACTGATTTATTCTTGACTACAAAAACACTGGACATGGTGGCTAAGCTGGTGTTGTTGCCAAATGCTTTTATTTGTATGTGTAAGTGTATGGACTCTGGGCAAACTTCTCAGTTGAATAAATCTTAAAGTTGCTCTGACCTCGGTCGCTGCAGTCCCGTCAGGTTCCACAGGGGTCGTTCACAGTGGGACACTGGGATCAATTTGTTCTGGGCTGATTTGGGCGCAGTCCAGCTCTCTCAGACGGACAACCTTTGGCCCAGATCCAGCCTCTCTCTGACCCCTCATGTCCCAAACTAACTTCTGTTCCGTGTCCTCCGCTGCCCCCTGTGGTCACAAGGGTCTCTGCACCTGCCAGACTAGAAGACAGGGGGATTAGCGTTAGAATTAGCACACATTCGATGACAGGTGAGGACAGGCCAAAGAACAAACTGAACCAAGGATTCAATTAGACTTAGACCCTATATTACGCAATAGGTCCTATATTATGCCTTATACCTTTTAGCGACGTTAGAATGTTGTTACCTCCTCAAAAACAGCCCTGGAGTTGTGTTTTGTTTCATTCACACATGTTTCAGTAATCCTTTATTATTAGTCTGTCTGCATCTCCAAAGCTCAAAACGCTCTGTTCCATCTTGTGAGTAAGTAAATAACTAAGCCTTTATTTATATAGCACCTTTCACAGATAAAAAAAAATAATAAAAATGACTTGTGTGCTTTACAGAGTGCAATAAAAAGCATATACAAGAACAGAGGAATTACACAGTGAACTAAAAGCTTGTCTAAAAAGTCATGTGTCTTCAGCTGCTTTTTAAGAGAGTCTGTAGAGTCTGTGTCACGGAGGGTTAGGGGCAGGGCTTTCCATAATTTGGGGGCCACAGCCTGAAAGCACATGTCCCATCGAGTTTTAAAGTGGGTCTTTGGGACCATCAAGGGGCCCTGACCTGAGGACCAGAACATGCAGCCTGAGGTGTAGGGGTGCCAGTGGCGGAGTTAGTAATTTGGGGGCCCTAGGTGAACTTGAGTTTGAGGCCCAATATAATGCACTGTTTTGTTGTTTTTTTGTTTTTTGTATTTTTAAAAAAATATTTATTGTCAGATTTTTCCCCCATTGTTCATGAGACACGCACATCTTTATTTGAATTGGGGTGGATTGGAAACTTGTCTTTTTAGTTAGGTAGCCTACTAGATAACCAGAGCTGAAAGTATTTTTTTAAATTATTATTATTATTTTTATTTATTTTATTTGCTAGTACAATTACATTACATCCATTATATATGATTATGATTATGCTATGATTATGGTGAAATCGAGGGTCTGACTAGTCCATTCTAATGTGAAAAGGGCAAATAGATGCTTTGACAGTTAAAATAGACACTATTTTGATGTTTGTTTGTTTTTTGTTTTGTTTAATTACTCTCATTTATTGTCATATTGAAAAAAAATCAAATTGTTCCTAGGCCTCGACCATGTAATACCCTAAAGAAGTGTAATACTGATGTACTGGGGGTGTCCGTCCATTTAAAGCTCTGTAAGAACTCTTTGTTAAAACCAACATTTTAATTAATCAACACGGAACTTAACAGAAAGCCAGTGCAGTGAAGATAAAACTGGTATAACAGACGAACACAAGTCTGTTAGCTCTTGTTAAAAACCTTGCAGCTGTGTTTTGTACAAGTTGCAGAAGTGTTAAAACAAGTAAAAAGTGAATTACAAAAATCTAAACGAGGTGAAATAAAAGAGTGAACAATCATTTCAAGATCAGTATTTTTTTTTTAAATTGTCTCAGTTTAGCGACGTTCCGTAGCTGATAAAAACAGTTTTTAAGTACTTGGCTGCAGTGTCCCTCCAAAGACACTAATTTGTCCAACAAAACTCCAAGATTTCTAACGATACGATGTGATTCCATATAGTAGAAGTTTTCATGTCAACAGCTACCTTTTACCTTTTGTTCAGTAGAGATTGGCAATTCCAGACCTGAAATTACCCAAATGACTCTAGTGAAGGTGTATGGAGTTTAAAAACACAGTGGTGCACACCTGTATCACCACATGACATCACAAGGTGGAACAGAACAGTGTATTTTCTGTTGAAGAGAAGAACTCAGCATTTAAGAAATCAACTGAATCACTTAAAATGACTACTTTTGATGTTCTAATTGTTCCAAAAATCTTTCAAATAATAGCTTTACTTTAGTAGATTTATTTATTTTTTTTAGGTGATACTTTTATTTTTACTTGAGTAATCTTTAGCCCCTGCATCTGTAACACAATTGAGTACTTCATCCACCGCTGTGTATACCGAACGAAAAGGAGGGTTTGATGCCTGGGAGAGACTGTAAGATCACTCAATCAAACTCCAATTATTCAAAAAACCTTCAGGCGTGTTTTTGATGAGGGAATAACATTATAACATGAAAAAAAAAGATTCATTTGATTTGATTGAGCGTCATAGCCCCTCTTTAAATGTTCTCTCTTTCTCTCTCCAGGTGGTGTCGAACAGAGCGGACATGGCGATCGGCTCGTTGACCATAAACGAGGAGAGGTCGGAGGTCGTGGAGTTTTCTGTCCCGTTTGTGGAGACCGGGATCAGCGTCATGGTTTCCCGAAGCAACGGCACCGTCTCCCCCTCCGCTTTTCTGGGTAAGTTCATGAATGCATTTTAATATATCTGTTAACTTTGACTGATTCTTTTTACTTATTCTGTTTATTTCATATTTAAAATGATGTATGTAAAGACGTATAGAGAAATTAATTGTCTGCATTCAGGGGAGACAAAGGAGTCTGTTGTCGGGGGCCCCAGGGCCTCGAATTTTACGCTCTTCCTATTAATTTATCTTAGAGGGGAGACGTGAGAGGTGTCTTGCCCCGGGCTCCCAAATTTCTGTCGACGGGCCTGTCTCCATATCACAACTGTGTAAAATAATAATATATATGACCTTCAAAAGTGTTCATTTTTATGTAACTTTCTAACAATAACTGCAAAAAAACACACATACACAAAACAAAAACATCTTAAATAATCTAAGAGTGTTTGCTGGTAGAGTGTTTGTCCACTGATGCAAAGGTTAATGGTTCTAATTCAGCTCTCTTGGGCAAGACACTTAACCCACCAAACTGTAAACTGAACAGATTCTAACATTCTTTTGTACCATTAACCATTAATCTGCTAAACTCAGATAGTACAGATAAAAAATAAAAGTAAAAGGCTTAGGGAATGTGCAATCAAAACTGCACATAGACCAACAGATTGTGCAATCAAAAATGCACATAGGTCACAGGAAAGTGCAATTAAAACTGCATATAGGCACAGGGAATGTGCAATCCAAACTGCACATAGACCAACAGATTGTGCAATCAAAACTGCACATAGGTCACAGGAAAGTGCAATTAAAACTGCATATAGGCACAGGGAATGTGCAATCACAACTGCACATAAATCAAGGGAATGTGCAATCCAAACTGCACATAGGCTTAGGGAGTGTGCAGTTATTTATAAAATAGATTGCTAAGGGTTTGCCTGTAAAGAATGACTTAAAGGTTGGTGTGTCACTTGTGGTCAGACTTAGTTTCATATTTATTTATATTCTATGGTGGATGTTTGTGTGGTGCATTTGTTGTTGTGTTGTCCTGTCTCTGTGTTAAAGCATGTGATCTCCTGTCCCAAGACAAATTTCTCCCAAAGACAAATAGCTCATCTTATCTTATCTTGCATCGCTTCCAATGTCCCCCCACTGTACACCAGTGTGAGTGGGTCCTTGTTGTAGAGTGCTTTCAGGGTAGCCACAGGGTCTTAAAAGGTCTTAAAAGGTCTTAAATTTCATGTTCCTAAATTAAGGCCTTAAATTATGTTGTCCAAGTCTTATTTTTTTCGTAAAAGTTTCATTAGCCTATTTGTTTATATACTTAACTGGGCTGCAGTACAATGTTACACAGAGGGTGGAAAAAAAAACAACAACAACGTGAAATCATGTAATGTGAACGAATGTCTAATTTGGAGTATGCGCAAACAATACTTTGGTTTCTAAACAATCAGTAGTTTGGAGGAAGATGTTGGATGGATCATGGGGAAGTGTAGGTTTAATCCACAGTTGGCTCTTAGATTCTAGATATAGTAGCTGGTTGGTCATTATTTGAATTGGATCTGGTGTTTTTTGCCACATAATGGGTGCGATCTTGGTCTTATTTTTCATTTAAGTTGTCCTAAAAAGATCTTAAAAAGTCTTAAATTTGGAGTAGTCAAACCTGCGGATACCCTGGCTTTGAGTGACTTGAAAGTTGAAAAGCACTTTAAAACCATGATTACTTACTAATACTTGCCTATACCGTAAAATTAAGTTGTTTGCATAGGATTAAAATGAAAAATAAGGACAACATATATTTTCTTAAAGTCAAATTTCCTTTCTGTTAGGTTTTATTGTTGAGAGTGTGCCGTGTTACACGTAGATAATGTTTTGAGATCCACGGAGCGTCAGTCGCCTCTAAATCCTCTTCCAAGCTTCATCTAAACTTGTGAGATTGCATCCTCATGTGGAACTTTGCACCAAAACCACCATTCTGTGAGTAAACAAAGAGTTGCATCCACATTTCATCATTTTAATGTGCCGCTCACTTCAGTCTGGGTCTGTCAAAGCCGTTTACTGAACCTACTGACGGCTTATACCAGTCATATGGATGCTATCAGTGATGGATTATTTTTACTTTGGTCGTTTTAGCTGGGACATTTGCAGTTTTGTATGATTCATATTCATATTCATGATATTGTTCTGATTATTTCATATTGTCATTTTGTTCTTGCTCAACAGACTTACCCGTTTACAACATGGCATAGGTTTCAGAATGATGAAAAGGAGCGTTACCATAGCAATTAACAGTTAACAAGAAAGTGTTATAACCTTTGAATGGTGAAAAGTCCTCAAAATGTCACATATTGATATTTTGCAGCTGATACCATCAACGTTCCCTGGGGTTGTAACGCTAACTTCAGGCACTGGTCTGTCTGAGGCTTTTTTAGAGTTTAATCTGAGTTTTAATTTAACACAATCTGGCCAGAAAGAATTGACTTATATTGAAATTACAACAAGTGAGATGATTTGTCCTGTTAAACAAGTCTTTTACATTTAGAATTAACCAACAGTTTTTCCATTAGGCTGCGTTCACACTGCAGCCTGAAGTGACCCAAATCTGATTTTTTGGCCCCTATGTGACCTGTATCTGATCTTTTAATGACAGTCTGAACGACACAGATCCGATTTTTTCAAATGTGACCCAGGACCACTTCAATATGTGCTCCTTAAACCGATACATATCTGATCTTTTGACATGCGACTTCAGTCTGAACGGCCAAAGCGCATTCATCCACCTACATGTTATCAACAAGCTACAAACGTCACTATTCTTCGCTGAAGTAGGTGAAAATTGTTAATGAACTCCATGTCACTGAAGTGAAGCACATCACCACTCATCACTCTTGGCTACGTCTCCACATCCCACGTTCCTTTCAACGGACGTCGCTGCCGCTGCCCCACAAAACACCACGGCCAAAAACCTCGTCCTTCTCAATCTCCTCCTTAAAACAAGTAAGTTGTTCATGTTCTGGCTCCGGTACGAGAGGAACTTTAAAATCGCCAGGTGCTCGCTCGCTGTGGTTGACGTCGTCGTGCTCATGAGGGACACTTTTGGGCCGTTTAATGTTCACACTGGAGATCACATACAAGTCGCATTTAATTGGAAATGTGAACGACCTCGCAAAAGCATCATATTTCACAAAAAAATCTGAATTGAGCGTTAAGCCCTGCAGTCTGAACATCGCCTTAGTCACTCACCTTTTTGTTGAAACTACTTAACAGGACCATGAACACTTGTATTCATCACAGGCTTCTCCATTTTGTGAGTTTTCAGACGATCTTAAAACTTTTTTGACAGTCTTTGCTGGTTAATGTGTGTATTGTGTCACCAGGGTAACTCCTTCATGAATTCGAGATACACGTAGAACACCTCAAGCGTGATGCCAATAACAAAAAACTGAAAACCATGAATACTGATTGGCTTCATGGGACATTCTGAACAACTAAAAAATAGTTGGAGGACAGGCCAGAATTCTACCGTCAGATTGCAAATTTGTCAGGCGAGGTTAATAGGTTTTATGTTTTCAGAATAGCTTAAAAAATCTGTGGCAAACATCTTTTTCTCAGTTGAACTTTGGATTTTGATTTGTGAATCTGAAGAATCCGGTTCAACAATTGCATTTTTTTTCAGTGTGGATTTTTTTCTTGCAATGTTAGATAGGCCTTTAGATCATTAAATTCAAAACATGAACCCAACTTATGGCCATTGGCACAGTTTGGCAGCCACATTTTCTGTCACTCACCTAGTGCCTCCAATCAATTTCATTTCTCTGTAGCGACTAGGCCAGGAACCGGATTGCACTAGACGGTTTGCAAGAACCCCAGAAGTTGTAGAAGCCAGTCAGTGAAGAGCTGTGAAGCCATGACATCAAACTTAAGCGCCTGTCTGGGTCCCTTTTGTGGAACAGCACAACAGTAACCAAAGCGGTCGAGATGGGTGTAGACGAAGACAGACGTTCTGTGTTCGCAATGTTTCCTGAGATTGAGGAAACGAGAGAATGTTTGGTGAGAAGAAAATTCAGTTTGTCGACTGGACAAAGTTAGTTTGATTCAAGACGTTTTGCAGCTCATCCAAGCTTCTTCTTCAGTTCTAGTCAGATGCTGGTGGACACTTCCTTATATCTGCAGGGACGAACTAACTAACTGAAACTAACACACCTTCTTGATTACAGTTTCTGTTTGTTAGTTTGGCCTATTGACCTGTGCAGGGTGTGGGGTCTAATTAACATAACAGTTCATGGCCATAATGGAGTTTCCACACCTCTGGACCTGACCTGGATACACCTATTGTTCTCTTATTTGTTTTGATTTAGGTTTGAGGATGGAGTTGTAAATAGGAGATAGATGGTGTCTGAGTCCTCCATTTCTGTTTAGAGAAGGATTCTCTTTCTTAACAAAAATGGCTTCTTTCAGTCCCCTCTCAAACCAATTATTTTCTCTGGCTAAAATCAGAACTGAAGAAGCAGCTTGGATGAGCTGCAAAACATCTTCAACCAAACTAACTTTGTCCAATCGACAAACTGAATTTTCTCCTCGCCATGGATTCTACCTGGACAACTGAGGGATTCTTTACACATCTCAAGGGGAAAGACGTTATTGCCCTTCTTCCTACAAGATTTAGCGCATTACATGCATCACCAAATAGCAGCGACTGGTCAAATAAAAAAAGTACCTGCCTAAAATCAAGCGAACAAATCCTAATGCTGCGAAGTCAGACAGTTTCCACAAAGTGAAACCAGCTGATGAATCAGGCCACCAAGGCACCTGTGACTACAGAGAAATAGCATTAATGGTCCTATATGACACAAAATGTCATCAAAAACATACCTGCAGTGTTTTGTTTCATTCACAGGTTTGACTAACCCTTTATTATTCGTTTGTCTACATATGCAAAGCTCAAAATGCTCTGTTCCAACTTGTGATGCCATGTAGCGGTGGTTTTCAAGTCAACACCTTTTACCTTTTGTTCAGCAGAAACTGGCAATTCCAGGGCTGAAATGATCCAAGCGGTTCTAG